TTATTTTCTCTAAGTTTGACGAAGCAAGAAAGTATAAGACAGTGGGGGTAAGAGTACAGGAAAAATAAAAAAGAAAGAAAAAGACTAAAAAAGTTAAATTATCTGATTGGTTACTGAACTTTACATAAAGTTTTCATGGGTCATTGAACTTCAAAAATTGTCCCGATAGTCATTAAACTTTGCAACATGTTATCCCAGTAACCCACTAGAAATCTTATGCAAAGTTTAGTGACTAATTATATCTGTACATTTAGGACATTTCTTTAAAAAGTTTTAATTTTCATGCTAAGATGTGAAAAACATAAAAAGGACTAAAATTTAAATACATGAAAGTTAAGTACTCAAATGTTACATTACCTAATATGTTATACCTTTGTTGCAATGTTCCTTGAAATCAATGAAATCCTCAATCTTCAAGCATCATAGTTGAAAATCAATCGACTAATTTTTACTGCCACAATCTTAGCACTTACAGCAAATTCTTAAATACTGCACAAATTGGTAATTGTTCAATATTGAAGAAAGGGGTTGACTTTGCAGAGTGGTAAATTGTGCTTCAGTAGTTGTATCTCGCCCCATCATAACTTTGCAACTGGAACGGGAATCCAATCACCGGAAATGTGGAGAGGCAAATGGGTTTCGATTTTCATTGTTTTTGGGTGCATATGCCTTCTCTGCAGTGCTTTCAATGGTGCTCTTCCTACAGTACCCAAATTAGGATCCACTCGTGGTGTCTTTCTGGTATTAGATTAGTATGTGTGTGTGTGTGTGTGTTTTTTTTTTTTTTAATTAATTACAGTGTTGATCACTTGATCCTGGATGATTTTGAAATATTGGGATATTTAGAGTAGAAAAATTAATACATTCGGAATTTTGAATGCTGTTGGTTATTGGATTACATCACTTCTCCTTTGAAGATTAAACCCAAGTGAATAATGGATCTTAGATCACCTTGAGGTCACATAAGAGTGAGATTATAATTTAACGGCCTAGCCAAATATTTCCACAGATCTTTTCATTGTTCTCTTTTAGGTGCCTCCCTTTTGAGAAGTATGAAAGTGCGTGGCTAACCCTAAATCCTGAGAAATGTTCCCACAAAAAGCATATTTATAATGCTCAATTAGGTTTCATAATTGCACAATTTTTCTTGGACCTTGTTGTAGTAGGCCAATTAAGTCATATTC